ACTGCTCGCACAATCCAGAAGGAGACGAAGGATGCAGATAAGGAAGATTTGCAGAGTCTGAAGATATAACAGTTGATTCCAGTGACAAAACTATGAGCTGGTTTGCAAGAACGGTAGCCAACTCTCTATCCTCTTCCTCTATTTCTTCACTCCACTGGCCTTTGACTAGGCCAGTGGGTCTGCCATGAGTCGCGCCATCTGATAAGGCTGTCTGCCCCCACTCATTGCTAACATGATCCGTATTCACTCGATGGTCAGTGGGAGGAAGCAAAGAATCCGCAGCAGCATCGTCTTCGATGGTACTCTGAGCAGGATGATCATCCAAACAGCGATTACAGAAAGCATTACGAGGATGATGAAGGAGATGATCCCGTGATGTAGCGCTCAGCGATGAAACGTCCGAGGATCCTCTTTTACCAAAGGGCAATTCGGATAAACAGCTTTGCTCACCAGAAAAAGGATGCCCCATAGTTGCACTGGCAGAAGCATAGCCCGAGTTGTTGACCTCCTTCACCGCAATGGGAGATTCGGCTGACAAGTGCCCGGGAAACCCAAGGTGGTATGGCCCAGAGGATAAAAAGGGGCCAAGAGAAGCGGGGTCAGTAGAAGAAATATCGGGAGGAGCTTGATGAAGGAGAGTGGAAATGGAGATACCAGAAGTGCCTTCGGAAGATGAGGCGGAGATAGCCAGTGGAGAAAGCAAAACTTCATCAGCAATATGATATATGCAATTGGTACTCCGTAGGATATCTGGCGTATCCGACCGAACTCGACGGCTAACTATGAGGCCAACGGAATCCGAAGCAGTCTGGAATGAGGCAAAATAGCACATTATAAAAGAGATTTGCTAGTATATTGCAAAAAATATAAAGTAAATAGTGGAGTTAACGTCAAAATTTAAGGTTAAGAGCTCCATTCTAAACTACAACTTAATCCATCTTTTCGACACCAATGCGCTTCCCAGAACCCACAAGATCAAGAAATGGTTTCAACTTACGTTTTTAGAGAAGGTTGCAAACCATGCTTCTCGTATGGGTTATAATTTTCAAAGAAATCTGACTGTTTTCATGGATTTCAAAGCCTCCAGGCCTTTTTACCCATTTGCATTGCGAGCCAGGCCATCGATGCTGTAAAGCGCTGTTGCGATTTCGTAGCATAAAAGTTCCAACAACATATTATGGTATCTGAACTACGCACTCTTAGTTGAATGACGAAAAAGGGTCAGAACAAATTTATTTGTTCTCCTGCCGTGGGAATAAGATAGATCGACCTCAATCCTTATCAATGAGAGTAAGCATACTCCTGACAGTCATTTCCATGAATGTAGGAATAACGAAAAACGTGCAGAACGAAAGCGTCACTTGTTTTGGCAATGCATGATGAACAGAGCTCGGAAGGGATTCCTTTCACTCGAAACTTATAGCACGAAGGTATAGCAACAAATACACAAGCATTACAAGGTTTTTCAGCATAATTATGGGATAGCTTTAAAATTTTAAAAAAAATACTCATCAGCACCGCCAGTCGAGAAGGCTGATGAAATCTCGCAATTAAAAATTGCTTAGAAAAAATCCATGATTATTTGGTGCAATATAAAATAAGGTTGCCTAAACTTAATTTTGCCTTTAAAATTCAGGACTACCTTTGCAATCAAACATTTAATCCAGCCAGGAATATATACCAAACTTTCCTGAGCTGCCTCAGAATAACAGAAGTAACTCAAAGCGTCCGTTCGAGTGACAAACAACCAGGCAAACCGCCGGTCTGGATGATAACGCAATTTTAAGAAGCAAATGACGAAATTAAACTCATTCTACGCGATTTTTTGTGTAGGTTTTAAGCGTGTTCGCAGAGTTTGTATTTTTTAGGTCATTCTATATCATAAAAAGTCGCAAAAATTCAATCAAATAGTCAGATTGTCTCAGTTTGCCTTGTGCGTAGGCCCGGTTTCAAGCTGTAGCGTCCCTGACTCACCCATTGGATATTTATCAAGCAATTTGGATGGTAAGTTGAAAAAGGGTCCTCGATAGCTTGGACTTACTAGCACGAAAGAGCATTAGTCTCCTGATCCGGCCATCGTCGCAGCTCAAAACGTCTGGTCGCAGCGGAAAACAATTTTATAGTAGTTGTTTTACTTTGTTTTCGCAACTTGCTCATATTGGCAGCAAGACCTAAATGAACTCACTTTGTCCGGAGTCCATAATAGGCATGACAATTTTCAGACCGTGGAATTAGTACATTTTCAGACGTTTCGCCGGCACCGTTAGCGAGTCTTGCCATTCTCGGCACCAATCTCAGCTACAACTCGTCAAAGAGACAAGTGAAGCCGATCCTTCGGCCAATTGTCTGCTAAACAGTTGTGATATCTCTCCTGTCATGGGCTATTCGCCTATCCTATATCCTCGTTCACCCCTTTAATATCATAATTTTTACTTGTTTGTCGAAACCTGGTTGAGGTCTGCCCTTTTGACGGATTACATGAGACCTATTCACAATCCCCCACCGTGCTGGAAGTGTAGATCCAGGATTCGTAAGGTCCTTCACTTATCTACCTGATTCAGTGATTTCACTCCGGCGCTACCACTGTATCCCTGCTAATCTAGGCATTTCGATCTACATTCTGCCTCAAGCCTTCGAAAGAACATATGCGCCAGCCTCAATGAGCAAGCCTCTAAAGTCTGGATGCTCAAGTAGCATGGCAACCTAACTTGACGCAGCAGATTCCCTTGCGACTGTGCGGCATTTGCACCGACTTAACCCCGTAGTCAAGCCTCTACCTCATGAACCACGTCTATGTTCGAACATAACTACCAATAGCCAACTAGCAATCGTCTCCGCCGCATCTCTCGCTCTTCTAGCCCTAACGTCATGTCGATGAATTTCTTATGTCTTCGGCGCCAATCTAACAGAATGTAATGTATTAGAGATAGAAACAGGAAAGACGCGGCGGCGATGGGAGCTAGTGGGCTGACAGTAGGTCTGTTTTTACCATAAACGTGGTCAATGTAGAAAAGGCGTGACCATGAGATAAGTCTCAGAGGTTTTAGCCTCGAACTATTCACCCA